ACCTTTTTACCCCTGTACCAACCCTGCTTTTTCCCCCGTTCTGCCCAGCCGCCCTCCTTGCCTACGCTACCACCCTCTATCCCCCTTTTTATCCCGCTCTCCCTTGCGCGCACCACTCATTATAGTTTCTCCCTCCCTCACTGTGCTCACTCCCACCCCCTTCATCCATCTATCCCTCTTTACCCCTCTTCTTCATGCGGCCACCACCTCTTCATCCTTCTCCTCCTCCTCTTCCTCCTCACCCGCCTCAGCCACTACCATCCGCTCGCTCGCTGCTGCTCTCCCTTCCACCCTTACACCGTCGCCCACCCTCCACCCGGTTCAACGCTCTACCGCAACCCTGGGAAAACCCTGGAAAATCCAGCGGCGTGCACCTAACTTCACCGTGGCGTACATGTATGTGTGTATGTATGTATGCATGCATATATGCTGCACGTGCGTGTGCCGGTGACACACGCAAGCAGAGGTTGCGTGTAGCTACTGGGTGTCCCGAAAATCATGATCGCTTTCTTTCTTCAAAGCATTTATCAACTATTCCTAATGGAGCGAAGAGATTTTTTTTTTTCTACAAATACATAAATAATACAATACATAGATAATACCACCACCTGCATTTCTTTCATTTCAATCAAAATTAAAGAAATCTAATTAATTATACGTGAAAAGAAATTTTGTATCCTAAAATAGGACATACGAAACTTGAAGAAAAGTAATACCTTTTCGAACGTTTGAGGGGAAACAGTCCAGTTCCGACTTGATAGAAGGATTTTTAGGTAAAAAAAAAAACGATTTTTGGAACACCCCATAGGCGATGTTGCGTACGAGCGCATATACAGGCGCCGCGGGAGGCATACGTACGTAATGGGCATCGGCCAGGCCGTTAGCGCGAAAATTGTTTATTTAAAGCCCGAGCGGATGCACGCGCGCACGGGGATGGTCGCGCGTGCGCCGCGCGTGTACGCATTGGAAATTGCATATGTAAGACCGGTGAACGTGAACGTGAACGCACGTGAATGCACCGTGCGATTCATTCCTGGTATTATCGAGATTTCAAGAATTCGAAACGCTAGGAAGATCGAAACAATGGAAAAAATATGTGCAAGGAAAGATGAAGCAAATTGCAGATAACTTGTAGAATTTCTCGCTATGAAGCGGATGAAGACGAGAAAAGAATCGACAGACGATATCTAATTACAATTTAAAGAAGTATTGTTCTGTTATTAACGTGAAAGAATAATGAAGTTAATGCGTATGTTCAGAGGAGAATTCAGTTCTCTTTGATCATTCGGATTATGAAGATTACAGTTCTAACTACAATATATAATATGTCAACTACTGCCTAACGTAATACTTTCTCGGACGGTGTTTTTTTCCGCATTTGATTCGCACAAATAAAGTAATGATCCTAGTTACCATGCTCGTGATTAACAATGTGCGTTAATAGTACCGCACCTGCGTTTACTTATGTACGCGTTTCCCGATATATCTTATATTGTCATTACGTTGGTACGGGCAAATATTTGATCGCGATACACTCGGACGAAAGCAAACGCCTCCAGCTATTATGGCAGTGTAATAATCGGGCGCGTAAACCTGCAGGTAGCCGTGCGTTTATATTATATATTACACTACATTACATTAAGCATGTTGTATGCGTACAACGCGCCCACCGCTGATAAGCGCGCGGACTCGTGCAGGTTCACGTAAATCGCGGGGGCCCCGCCAGCGATACGTCGTGCATGGGGGCGCATTAATACGCACGTGCTTGCCGTGCGTGCGCTTTGGCAGTTGCATCGAAGATAGCCGGGGCTGTTCGTTGTCGGTGATTAAATCTGCGCGCGAATCCAAGAAAAGCAGGGAATTCATCTGTATTTTCGATCAGGCACCATTACAGTCCTCTGGCTAACGAATCAAAATTATTCCTACCTTGATGGATATCAGTAGGAGTAATGGTAACCATCCCTTGAGTTAAATAACATTTTGGTTTTACTTTTAACTTTCAAAATGTAAATAATTTCTATAACTACTTTCAAGATAAACAACGTCGCTATTAACGTATGCACTTGGTAAATAATAGATTAAATTTGAATCAAATTTAATACATTTTCTTGAGTTTAATTGTTTAACTCCACTGTTTTAGTTAAATTAACGACATATTGAGTGTCGATTTATAGAAATGATCAATGAAAATTAACTCAAATTGGATAGAATTTGACATTATTGGATAGAATTTGACATTATTGGATAGAATTTGACATTATTTAACAGTAAAATCTTATCCGTTGAATCCTAATAATGTATAGATATAGACAGCTTTTCTTATCAATATAAATATCTCTTTTGAACTTTTTGAACATTCTGTAAACATGTTTCTTTGTTCCGATTAGTACTCTTCTGCTTTTAATAGAAAAATTGGCACGTCACGCGGGGATCACGACACAAAGGATCCAATTATTTCGGCATACCTTCTCCCGGGAGTGAGTTTTTTTTTGTACGAAATTGATGAAGATTTTTATGTTCACGTTGTGCCGCATATAAATCATATTAAAATGTATTAATCGACGTTGCGAGCAAGGCAAAAATAAACACGTAGCGTATGTACATGGGGTATGTGCTGTATTAAAACTGTAGGTTTACATCCGCGCTGTGGGTGATTTATGCGCGTTGCAACGACTCTCTCGTTGTGTGCTCATCGATGCAGGCTTCGCGATTTCAGATCCCAGGTTCTCCGGTGCAGAAAAAAGCGCGAGATGAGGGCTCGGGTCATGGATCGCCACTAGGCTCTCCACGAGCTTTTCCCGGATCCGCGAATTTTACCATTCGTGTATGTTTGTTTCAGTTCATTTACGAATCCCGGTTTACATTTATCGCAAAATCCTGATTACGCATTAATCAACGCAAAAAAGTTAGCTCTATTATTAACTTAGCGTTTATGTTTCACGTTTTTACTTCCTTTACGCGAATGAATCGTCCGATTTTTTTTTTTTTTTTTTTTTTCAGAATGATGATCCTGAACGATAATCGCTCCCAGCATTCACCTCTGTCTCCCATTTTTCTCGCCGACTCTGATTTTCTCGTTGACTTGATAATTACTCTCCTCGAAGCGCGTCTAAGACGAGGCGCGCGCAAAGCGCACTCGATTTTCCCGGGGGCGGGTATAACATTATGCAATTTTATGCGGAAACTTCGAGAGACGCAAAGGCGAGGCTCGCTTGCAAGACTATGGTAATGGTGTGGGTTCGTTAGCGCCACGATTGTCGGACACATTGGCGCTCGTTTATACGGATGTTCGGAATTCGAATTGCGAATTCATGTCCTGGTAGAAGTACCTGTCAGTGGCTACAAGTCTCTTCCTTTGCTCGCGCTTTCCATTTGTTATTATTATGACTTCACAGCTTAACGCTCTCGTCACGAAACATCTTTTATTATTATTTTTATATTGTTATGATCGCATCACTCGAATGCTTTCCTTTAAGGTACAAAGTAAATTAGATTAATTTATCATAATAAAATTAATTTTGTTTTTGTTAAAATATACGATAAAAGTGTACGATAGAATCACTCACAGAAGTGATTTCCAGGTCCAGCATAGTGATGTCCCTTATAAGCTGCGAACAGTCCGGGATTGATACCAATCTGTAAAGTAAGACAAATATGTCTCGTTAGAATATTTGAAACATTTCTAGACATCATTTTACTAATAATAGAGTCTGACGCGAACAAATCGCGAATATATGATTGCATACGCGTTCGCGCTAGCTGTAGACATGATTGTTTTATATTGTTATTTTAATTAGCCACGTTGATAATACAAAAACAAACGGATGTTCTTAAGTCTCTTGCGTCGACGTCGCTGTATTTGTTCCACTTTGAAAACTTCTTGGATTCTCTCTTCTCCTCGTTTAGAAATTATTACTCACACTTATTTTCGTGTTTCAAAACAGTGAAATTATTGTCTCTTCATGTGCTTCGACTTTTCGCCGAGTTTTTCCAAATCCAAACGAGGAAAAACGCCGAGAAGAGACAAGTTGCTGCAAGTCACGCGTTGCTGTCGACGTAATTAATTTCGCTTTCTATCGATTGTCAAAGCTAAATCCGAGACTTTGGAGAAAAACGTTCATCGATGTTTCTCTCGTTTAACTCGTGGGGTGTTATAACAAAATGCAGGCGTAAACGGGAATGAGAATTGTATCGATTGTAAATCTGTATAGTGTTAATTAAAGCAGACCGTGGCGTGATTGATTATGTATATAAATGCAATATGATGAAAACTAATGGCAAATTATGTTGATGGTTCGAATTTAATGAAAGCATATGATGAATAAAACTTTATCGAATCTGTACGCATGTCTTTGAAAAATAATATTTTTAACGGTAGAAAATGTGCCGTCCGATCGTGATTATAAATAAAAAAGAAAAAATACATAATAAAATCAAGCATATATTATGGAAATATGGTTTGAATGTGCTACATGCATAATGTTTAATTTAGCTCCCAAAGCTTCCAAAAAAGCACGTTCAACGAGAAATTGCGTGCGCCCATATTATATGCGACAAAATTAATTTCGCCATTACGAAGGCAATACCTACTTCAATGGAGCATTTTTAATCTGCAAAATACAAAATTCCAAGCTGCTCATCTTCGTCTAGCTTACTTCAGCAATTCTTTTATTCGGTTGTGAAAGATATATTTATTAAACACAATTAAAAACTATTATATTATTAATATGTTTTATTCGTCGATGAATAGAAACGGGATAAATACTTTGCCTCTCCGAACAATTCTACTGTAAGATCTCATCTATCGTCACCTACTTTCAATACTCTTTCCAATTTTACTCGATTTCCTATGAATATAACCGCGTCAGCAGATTGCATTGGAACAATGAATTCTTTTTCAAAATGAAAAATGGGATAATTGAAACCTTTGAACATATGGAACAAAGCGATGATTCTCTGATGTTGAAATTAACAAATCTTTTTCAATGATTTTCCGAGCATTGAACGAATACCTTACCTCTTTTCAATGATTTTATAATAATTTTAATATCGTCATTAAAAAAATGGACGCGTAATAATTCCAATTTGCTCGACTTTATTAAATAATATTAGTGGTTATTTTAATTCATCCACGCTTAGTTAATTTCCTACGTTTTCTCTAGTAAAAGGGCTTTCCCGTTTCGTGCCGTTTTTCGTGTAAACTGAATTAATTAATTAAACTTAATCTCTCGCGCGCGCACGGCGATACACGCTGCACTTCCGTATGTATTCCAGTGTCTCTAAATTGAGGAAGAGAAAGAGGGAAGAGAAGGGATCGATTTCTTTCCCCGTTTCGCGTACGACTTCACGTGCGCGCTTCTTACTCGCGATTATGCAACGGCGCGGCGGAAGGGAGGAGATGGAGGAGGAGGAGGCGCAGGTGCGGCGTTGGTACCTGTTGCACAACCGCATTATCTTCGCTCCTCGCTCCGCCGGTTAGGTAATTAATAACGACAAAGTCCAAGGATACGTGATGTGCGCGGCCGCGCGAGCACCATTAGGCGCGCATCTCGCGCGCTATTAAACCTTCCTCCTTCCTCTTCTCCTCGTCGATGTACTCCCGCGCGATCTCTCTCTCTCTCTCTCTCTCTCTCTCTCTCTCTCTCTCTCT